GGATTTAGTCCCTGACCCTCCATCCCAAAGCACTGCCAGAACTAACCACTGAATGCAGAGCCAGGTGTAAGCCCTGAGCCATTCTGGATATGCCTCTACCACCCTCCCCACCCATACCTCGCCCCTTTTCTCCCTAAATGAACAAATTGTTCCTTTTTTTTTCTTTTTGGGTCACACCTGGCAATGCACAGGGGTTACTCCTGGCTCATGCACTCAGGAATTACTCCTGGCGGTGCTCAGGGGACCATATGGGATGCTGGGAATCGAACCCAGGCCAGCTCTGTGCAAGGCAAACGCCCTACCCGCTGTGCTATCACTCCTACTCCACAAATTGTTCCTTTTATTGAAGAAAAAAATTAGTAAATCTCAAGACTTTCAGTAAAAAAATAATTAACATGGAGACGTTACTCTGCCTTCTCGAGCAAATCGATGAACAACGGGAGGACAATGGACAGTGGACACTTATTGCCAAGAACTTGCTAATAATTTTAACATTTTTAACTTTTAAATTCCATACTGCAAATTTTCATACAAAGATGCTTTTTTGTGTGTGTTTTCGGAACACACCAGGCAGTTCTCAGGCCTTACTCTTTGCTCTGTGCTCAGTAATCACTCTTGGTGGTGCTTAGGGGACTGTGGGTAATACCAGATATTAAATCTCTGGTATTATGTTTTTATGCAAGGAATTGATTTTATGCAAGGAAAGCACTCTATATGTTTTCTTATCTTTCAAGCCCTGATATTAAAATATTGTACGTAATTCTTTAAAGGTAAAGGTAAAGGTAAAGGCCCTCCCGTTGATCGTCGATTTGCTCGAGTAGGCCAGTAACGTCTCCATTGGAGACTTTGTTGTTACTGTGTCTGGCATATCGAATACTCTCGGTAGCTTGCCGGGCTCTCCGAGAGGGGCGGAGGAATCGAACTCGGGTTGGCCATGTTGGCCACGTGTAAGGCGAACGCCCTACCCGCTGTGCTATAAAAGTCACCTTAATTTGTTTTCTTACTGCCACAACCCATTCGGACAATGAAAGTAAATTGAGCAACAAAATGTGCACTCCTTCTATAAGTAATTATTACAGAAATTATCAGCAGTTTCACATCCTCTGTAACAAGTTAAAGCAACTGAGCTTGGAATTCTCGATCGACTACAGTAGATTGCATTTACACTAGTCCCTCCATCTCTGTCTCTATCTCTATCCCTCTCTCCGTCTCTGTCTCTGTCTCTCTCTATGTGTGTGTTTGTCTTTGCTTCTGCACATTTAAGTACACATTCCTTTATTTTATCATTCTGATGTAGTCTGTCCTCCTTACATTAGTTCATTTAAACCTCTGTATCATGAAGATTTTTTTCTTTTTTTTTAATTTTTATTAGTGAGACACCATGAGGTACAATTGTAGACTTAAAAATTTTTGTGCTTGGTTTTCATTTATACAATGATCAAATGCCCATCCCTCCACCAGTGCTCATTTCCCACCACCATGGATCCCAGTATCCCTCTCACCCTCCCCCCGCCATCCCACCCTGCCTCTGTGGCAGGGCATTCCCTTTTGTTCTCTCTGTCCTATTGGGTGTTGTGGTTTGCAAAAGATGCAATGGGTGGCAATCATGTTTGGTCTATATTCTATTTTCAGAAGATTTGACTGGCTTTTCTAGCCCATAGATGCGGTTTACATAATTCCAGAGAATGTCAGAAATTAAAAGAGCAAAGTTTTTTAGAAATACTTTAATTTTACCTAACAAAAAGTTTGAGGTTTATAAAGATTGACTTAAATTCTACATAATGTTGAGTGACTGAATCAAACAGGACTGAATGTTATAATCTGCGAGCCGGCTTGTGGAAATAAGAGGGTTTTGTTAAAATTTGCAGATCATTTTTCATACATTTTTGTGGTGATTTTTCTAATTAGTAGGTCTAATAATTCTAAATCCCCTAGACCTAATATGCGAAAAATTGTATGTCCTTCTGACTCTAGGCAACTTATCACTTATAACATGGTTCTTAACACTTTCGACAACAACTGTAGCCCTGTCCTCCCGTTGTTCATCAATTTGCTTGAGCGGGCACCAGTAACATCTCCATTGTGAGACTTCTTGTTACTGTTTTTTGGCATATTGAAAATGCCACGGGGAGCTTGCCAAATTCTGCTGAGCGAGTGAGATACCGTCGGTAGCTTGTTGGACTCGATGAGAGGGATGGAGGAATCAAACCCGGGTCAGCTGCGTGCAAGGCAAACGCCCTACCCGCTGTACTTGGCAATGACTAGCTTCTGTAAAACTAAGAGGAAACTGGGATTCTCTTTCCACTGAAACTGTTGATTCAGTCCCTGACGTGGTACTGGACATCAGGTTTTATTCACAGAGAATGTCACCAGTGCAGTAGATCCTAGAAGGTTTGTATTTATTGAGACAACCAGAGTGGGGTAGTGAAAAAGACAATCTGTGATGCGTTCAGGAAGTTAGAAATCATCTTCAAAACCCTTATGATCAGAATTTATACATCAGGGCTTGGATGGTGCCTACACATGTAAATGAACATTAAAGATAAAAATTAAGAAAGCGGATAAGGAGAGTTTATAGGATTTGAAAAATTCAAGTCTTGAAAACTTACTGGATTCGCCTTTCATTCAAAATTTAGTTACATGGAAGATGACATATCCTAGAAAAGGCACCATTGCAAAATAAAAAACAAAATATTTTTAAATATGTGTTCAGTTTTTTTGGGTAATTTTTGGTTTTTGATGTATGAAGGATAATGTAGTGTAAGCGACATAAAGTTTTGGTGTAGTTGTAGAGTTTTTTTCATTTGATGGACATTTTGATTATTAATATAGAGTATTCCATTATTGACACATGATTTGGTTATCAAGCATAACAGGAAACAACAAAGAAAAACTTCAAGTAGACATTTTCCCAAAATAAAATGTTAATTAATAAAATACTTTATGAAACCTAAATAAAAGTATGTACATTTTCAGTGCCTATGTTTGGCAAGTTTCAATTCTAATAAAAAGGTAGAACTGGGGAAAAAAATTCTAAAGCATAATGTACATTTTTAAATGTCAGTGTTGTAATTGCAGGCAATTTATAAATATGAACTCAGTGTTTAGAAGAAAACATTTTTTTTTACAGCAAAACATCGATATTTCTAGTAGAACTCGGTTTTCAGTATTTCTAATAAAATTCAGAATAGCGTGTTTTTGTGTATCGTTTTAATCTGTTTCCATTATTCTGTATATCTGAATCTCCAAGGATGAAACCTTTTATGTACAGTCCCATGAACTGAATGTAGCCTTTATGCACTTTTTAAGAAATGAATCATAAGGCAATTTCAAGCACTTGGGCACACACATTTGTCACTTGAACTTGAAATATCCTGATGTGATTAACCACAACGGGAATATTATGTGAAATGATTGATGCAGGAAGATTCCCTGTGACTAACAGGAGAAAAAATAAGAGGAAAATAGACTCAGTCTGTGATGGGGATGGGGCGAAATGACTCTGACCTACTAAACCAGTGAAAAGATATTTCCATAGTAGAGATAATAATAGGTGTCCAATGATGGAAGATGAATTTGAAAAAGTAAACTATCATAAACACACAAAAATAAGGTGAAAAATGAGGCCAAGAACTTGGCAATATCAAACTGGTAGATGTGTGCACAGTTCAAAGCACAGGGCCAGGAAGAGAGCTCAATGGTTAGGAGAGCATTCCATATCCCAGATTAATCCTGGTACCATGTGTCTTCCTGTGCATCCCTAGGTATGACCTTGGTTGTCCCCAAGCATCTCCATGTGGTTCTGGTGTTCCTCACGTCGGAATGACTGAATGGTAGCCTGGGGCCCAAGTGCTAAGGCAGTGACTTAGTTTCCCCTGAGCACTTTTTGGAAGGTCTATCCTCCAAATAAGTAAATAAATATTAAAAATTCACAATAACAGTTCAGGACTTTAGTGATCTAAGGCAATTCTTTGTTTTGTTTTGAGCATAGTCATTCTGTTTCACTGACTTTTCTTAGTCAAATAATAGTCATTTATTATAGTCCTTTCTAGAATCATGTGCCAAGAACCAGGAAAAAAAGTGACATGATCTATGCTCAGCTACAATAAGCTTAATTATTTTGTTTGATTCTCAGAATTTGAAATTATCTCAAAGTTCCCCAGTATTAGACTCCAACTATGCCTGCGGGGATATCTTAAAGTGAACAAAGGAATTAGTCAGTATATAGCATGGTATAAATCATAATCATAAAGGAAAGGTTAGAGAATTATGGATGTTGGAAATCTTTTTTTATGTTTTGAAACACAGAAAAAATGATTATGGTCCTTCAAAATTAGGTAGAAGAAGGAATTTTTTTTCTCTCCTAATTTTTACACACTGCTAATGAATAATTCTTGATAGAACTACACTAAAATATCATTAAGTATTTCTAAAGCTAGTAGATTCCTTTAATTTTTTTTTACTTCTTCCTTCAATCTTGAACCCTTTATTGAAAAATGAAAGTGAGAAGTGGTTATGATGACTGATTATACGAAACAAAAACACTTAGAAGTATTTGTATTCATTTTCTTCTCATAAAGAGCAGACTGTTCTTTAATTATGATAAACTTCATCAGTACAGCTTAGTATATTTTAGCATTTTTGATATATCACAGTTACATTTGTTGTGCTTTATTTAATGCAGTAAGATATTATTTTCTCATAACTCTAAATTTGAAAGATATCATTTAGATGCATGCACATGAAATTAAATATGATTTATGTGATTCATAATGAGTCAAATGTGACTTATTTTAAGCCTTTCACTGTTTATAGTGACCTAAATTTAGCTACCTAAAAAAATCATGCTCTTCACCCTAGTCGACTGAGTTTGCAATGTCACTGCTTTCCCCTGAGACTTAGCCAATATTTGTGATTACTCATTAGTGACATGGGACATAAATGCAAAAATTAAATGCTATCACTTTCCACTTCTAAACGTATCACAAAAAATTTCTTACCTTGCCTACGTATTGTGTGTCTGTACCTGTATACTCTTCCAACAAGAAGAACTGGTTCCACATCCAGCCACGCTTGGTGCGATGCAGCATTTTACCATCATCTTTTGTCAGACCCACTATCCTTTTGCTTGATAAATAATTGTTAGCTTTTTCTTGTAATGGAATAGCATCAAATGTATGGAACATATAGGTCCAGACGAATAATGGTAGGCAATGGTAAGTCCTCATTATCTACGGCTTCAGCAAGATATCAAATTCAATGAATCGTCTGTTTCTCCTGAGGAGTAGGGGAAGAAAAATGATTTATTAGGTTGAGTTAAAATTTCACATTACTGTAAATGATTACTATTGCTATTTAAAATTGACATATATGTAATATATTATTTTTGCTAAATTTCTTGAAACTGACATAATTAGACTCTATGAATATATACATGTATTTGCAACTATGTAGTTTTAAGAAACAGTATCTTCTATCCATAAATGACCATATTTTACATGTTATTTATTTTCCTCCTCTCATTCTTCTGCAATGTTTTGATGCTGCCTTAAGGCATATTCAATAGCACCAAATGTACTTTGTATAGTTTTGTGATAATATGTGAAGTTTGGCAACTATTAGCCATGTTATTCACAACTATCCTTAAAACACTTTATTTGAAAAAAAAATGTTGGAAGAGGTGAGTTTGGGTCACACACCTCTGCTCCTGGTGCTGCAATCAGGAATCACTCCTAGTGGGTTCTGGGGAGTGGACACAATTAAACTAGATTGGCCAAATGCAAGTTAATTGCCATACCTATTTTCTATTTCTCCAGCCCCAAATTTTATTTTTAATGAGAAAGTAATATATGCTTCTAATACATGGTAAACACAAGCATTTTCACCGATAACTAAAGGCAACGGAATTATCTATTATAATAAGAGTCAAATGAAATTGGTATTATAAAATTAGTTATGTGGTTTTACCTATGGGCTAATTTGATCCTAATTTTGTTTAAACAAACCCAATCTCTGTTAAGATACTCAGTTGATTATTTTAAAGTAAAAAGACAGGTAATTTTGTTTTTTAGAATTAATCGTACTTATTAGGCTACGAGCTTAATATGTTCTACCATTAAATTAAGGACATAGAAGGGGATAATGGTGATGCTGTTGTTACTGGGAAATTATATGCTAAAAATAGAAACTTATCTCAAATTACTGGAGGTAAAAAAATCCAATGACTAGATTAAATCTGCAAAGAAAAGGTTTACAGAGGTAAGAAGCAATTGGTCATAGTATCATAGGTTTGAATATTTAAGTTTATTATTCCCCCACTCTGTCCCCAATCTCTGACCTTCCATTTCCCACTTCTCATTTCAGTATCTTCTATATTGTTTTGAACTAACATCCTGTTTTCTAAGTGGGGCAAAATATAATTTTTATTGGTGAAATTAGAGAGCATGATGTGAGGGAGGAAAGAAGAGGAATGTGTGTTTAAGAAAGAACACAGGAACATAGGCTTCTCCTGATGGAAAAAAGCCTGAATTAATTTTCTTAATCTTAATAATAATTAAAATATTAACTTTTAATATATGCCATACAATTTAACATCTTGTTATTGAAAAGCAATATGTATAAATATATTTATATATAAAGATTTATTTAGAGATGGAAGAGCTTGGAAATCATGTCAGAATGACAGTGCAGGAGGCAAGGGACTTGTCTTACTTACAGCTGACCATGGTTTGATCTGGCACTAGACATGTTTCCTAAATTAACTGGACACTAGATATCTATATTCCAAATCACCAAGGTCCACTCCTGAGCACAGAACTAGTGACATCCGCTGTGTATTTTCAAGAGTGTCTCATATCAAAAAAGTAAACATAAGAAAAATATTGGGAATAGAGTTAATTACCTGGTTTTAGTCTGATGTCCAGTGCTAGACCCTGTATCTTTAAATTCACTTGCAATTAATTTTTTTTCTTTATATCACACGCGGAGATGATCAGGGGTTACTGCTAGCTCTGTACTCAGGAATTACTCCTAGCAGTGCTGGGGGGACCATAGGGGATGCCAGGGATCGAACCCAAGTCAGCAGCATGCAAGGCTGTACTATTATCTGGGCCCTTAGTTGCAACTATTAAGGCATAAAGATAAAATCTAAGCCTTTCACATGATTTATTTCTTATTATCAGTGAGAATTTGTATATTTTCAAGTAACACTACATGTCACCTTGTCTAACAAAGGTTAATAATTCTCAAGATATTGTCATAATTTATTTGAAATTTTATCAATTCAATGTAATTATTTTTGTATTACAGGGAATTAGGTTAAAAAATACCCAAAGCTTTAACTACAAAAAGTCACTGTCCACCCACTGTTCATCGATTTTCTAGAGCGGGCCCAGTAACGTCTCCAACTACAAAAAGTATCAATGAATAACTCTGACTTAAAACAATTACACCAGCATATACCTATGAAAAGCTGATTCATATTTTGTATTTTATTAAAGATAATGCATATAAAGAACTTAGTATAATTCTAACACACAAAATCTCAACATGATCACTTGACTTCCCGTTAATCGTCGATTTGTTCGAGCGGACGCCAGTAACGTCTCCATTTGTCCCTGTTGCATTGTAGTGTAGCCCAATGGTGTCGGTTTGTTCTAGGAACACAAAGAGCCTCTAACCTATTGTTCATGATCTTGATCAAGAATTCTGACCATCTGGTAGGTGGGCGGCCACGCGGTATTTTGACATCCCGTGGAATCCAGTCAGTAAAGCTCTACTCCAGCGGTCATCTCTAAATCTCGTTACATGACCAGTCCATCTGATTTTTGACACCGTGGCAAACGAGTCCCTCATTCTTGATCGTCGACAGATGACAGAACTCCGGATTCTTTCTCTCATTTGAGTGAAACGTGATATTCCAAGCATAGCTCTTTTAATTCCTCTTTGGGAGACTCAAATAGCATTCTCATCCTATTTACGTAGGGCCCAGGTCTCTGAGGCATATGTTAATGCAGGAAGAACAGTGGAATCAAAGAGATGTGCCTGGAACCGGAGGTTCTTTGTCCTCTTAGCAATTTCTTCGACGGTCTTGAAGGCGTTCCAAGCTGCTCTTTTCCTCCTGCGCGGCTTGGGTGCCAAGTCATTTGTCATGTTGACTTCTAGATCTAGGTACACATAGCTGTTGCATTTGGAGATGGTCATTACGTTGAGAGCGAATGGGGCATCAGGAACGAGGCTGTTTCTCATAAACATTACTTTGTAAGATTCAGCTGTAGTCCGACCTTTCCACACTCACGGTCGAAGTCGGCCAGCAATTGTGCTGCTTGGCTGTTATTTGTGCTGTTTGGTGTTATTAAAACAATGTCATCAGCAAAGCGGAGGTGATGTAGTTGCCAACCATCTATCTTCACTCCCATTCCTTCCCATTCCAATTGTCGCATGATATTCTCGAGGGTGGAACTGAAGAGTTTTGGTGAAATGGTATCACCATGAGGAACCCCTCTCTTGACATCAATGATTACATCTTTGTAGAATGGTGAGATCCTGGTAGTGAATTCGTAATACAGCTCACGGAGGATCCTGATGTATTGAGTTTGAATGCCTTGATTGGCTAGGGCTTCAATGACCGCTTCTGTCTCAACAGAGTCAAAGGCCTTCTTTAAATCAATGAACGTTAGACAGAGCGGCATCTTGAACTCCCGAGAAACCACAATGAGCTTGGTTATCGTGTGGATATGGTCGATGGTGCTGAATCCTTTGCGGAACCGGACTTGCTCACATGGTAGTCCTTCATCTAGAGTTCTGCCAATCCTATTTAGGATGACTCGAGTGAACAACTTGTAGATGACAGACAATAGGCAGATCGGGCGATAGTTGCCAATATTATGGATGTCTCCCTTCTTGTACAGTAGTACAGTCCTGCTGGTTTACCATTGGGACAGAACCTTGCATTCAGACAGGTAGCGTGTGAAAAGCCGAACCAGCGTATTGATGAGTACTGATGGCAGGTTGTTCAGGTGTTCAGGTCTGACCTTGTCTGGGCCGGGTGCTGTTCATTTCTTTACTGATGAAATGGCGTGTTGGATTTTGGAAGGGAGAACATTGGGAACAACACATCCATCCTGTGGAATTTGGTATGTCGGTAGGTGGACATGGCTATTGAAGAGATTCGAGTAGAAATCATGGATAATCCTCTCCATTGCCCTTCTGGAAGATGTGACAGATCCATCAGGACTTCAGAGGGCAGTAATCTCAACATATAGTGTTTTTCCTTCCTCCTCCTAATTGTACAATAGTAATATGCATATTATGCATTATATGCTACACATAGCAGAAAAGGGCTATGATAGCAGATGTAATTCTAGATGTTGCTATATAGTTCCGTTATTGACTCTATCAAGCACCTCTGTGCCCAGATGTTCATATCCAGTATGATCTTATGTAATACAAAGCAAACAAACATAGCCACAGATACACACATTTTAGAATGAAGGAAATAAAAACCATTAACTTTTTGACTCTGATATTTCAGCAAATTGAATATTTTAGAGTTTAATGTGTTTATTAATAATATAGTGGGATTTGATCATATTTATATCATGTCAATAGCAATGATATTTGAAACATTAATATATGCTATAATAAAACTCTGAAGTAGAATTCAGAAAATTGCAGTGTTAGGGTTCAGAAACAGTCTAATGTGAAAATGCCATGTAGCGTACACTAGATCTGAATACATCCCATGTTTTGTTGACCAGTTAATACTTTGTAAAAAACGAAAGAATTTTTTAGTTGACCACATCTGTACACACCTCTCCCTTCCTCATTTCCCCAAACTGGGAGATTTCATTTGGCCATTTTTGTAGTTAATAACTTTTAGAACAAAAATTGGACAAGTAGTTTGAAAGAAGTCCATGATAATTTACCCTGGCTACTTTTATTCTTTACAATTATTTTCCTGTCCCCCAATTACATAAACATACATACATACACACACACACACACACACACACACACACACACACACACCCTTTTCTTATACTAAAAATTCTCTATTATTTGACTTATTAGTAACTACACCTGCAACTCTTTTTGGGGCTTTTCCTTGCTTACTGCTGCCACTTTGCTGTCAAACACAGTATATATGTCTTCAAGTTTTCAGATATCTTCCATGAAATTTCTGTCTGACTGGTGCAGCAATGAGAAAAGTTAAACATATTTCACACCCAAAAGCTCTCATTCAGAGTAGGTCACGGAAATAGAAATTTGACTGAATT